CAAATCAAAACATGAGATACCACTTCACACCAGTGAGAATGGCATATATTAAAATAGCAACAACAAATATTGGCAAGGATGTGGAGGAAAAAGGAACTCTTTTATACTGCTGGTGGGAATGCAAACTCATCCAACCACTATGGAGAGCTGTGTGGAAGTTCCTCAGACTACTAAAAATGGTGCTTCCATATGATCCAGCAATTCTACTCGTATGCATTTACCCAAAGAACACAAAAACATGAAATCAAAAGGACACCTGCACCCCTATATTTATTGCAGTACAATTCACATTAGGTAAGCTATGGAAGCAACCCAGATGCCAGAAGCAGATGACTGGATCAAGAAGATGTGGTATATTTATATAATGAAGATTACTCAGCAATCAAAATGTCCATTGCAGCAACATGGATGGACCTTGAAGGAATTATTCTCAGCGAAATATGCCAGGAAAAAAAGAAAAATGTTGAATGGTGTCACTTACAGGAGGAATGTAGAGAAAATGAAACAGGTATCAGGGGGAAAAAGTAACTATAATAAAGTAAAAATCAAAATCATCAGGCACCTATAGATCAGAGACATTCTGCAGGGGAAGAAGAGGGGAGAGATCTGGACAGGAGTGGGAAGAGCACAACAAACTATGGTTATGGTGCACCGGTGAACTGGTGGTGGGAATTTCATAGGGAAATCATATATTGTACAAAAATGAAGCATGATGTAATGAATTTATTTAAAAAATTTTAAATTTGCTGGGGTTTTGAGTAGAACTGTGTTAAACCTGTGTATTGTGAGAGGAATTGACATTTTTACACAAGTTGAATCTGCCACTCCACAAACACATTATGTGTCTCCATTTACTTATCTTTTAATTCCTCCATATGTATTGTGTTATTTTCAGTATCTATGTCCTATTCATGGATTGTTAGGTGGTTCATTTATATCTTTGATATATTACCCATGACACTGCTTATATTTTATATTTTGTTGCCCTTTTTTTTTAATTGCTAGAATATAAACATACAGTTGATTTTGTATTTTTATCTGGTATCTTGTGACCTTTTTTTTTTTTTAATTCATTAGCTCTCCCTTAAAAGTCAGTATTTTATTTTGCTTGATGTCCAGAGTAATTTTTCTTTTTTCTTAGAAATCATTAGTTTTACAGTAGATCTCAGTATTTTTGTTTTGTTTTTGGATTTCCCAGATAATCAATTTGGTGTAGTATGGTATAGTCTCTCAATATTTCAAATCTCCTAGGTTCAGTAATTTTTTTTTCTCTTGATTATTTGCTCTGTCACGGTGCTTTTGTTTTCTTTCTTGAGGCCTCATTATATATGTTTAGAACCTCTTGCTTATCTTTTTTTTTAAAGATTTATTTATTTGCACATACAGAACTGGGGTACAGGGGCAGTGAGAAGCTTCACCAGAGAGAGTGGGGAGCAGAACAGGCAGATCGATGGAGTACACTGCTGAGGGGAGCAGCGGGCCTGTCAGGAGAGGTCTGCCAGCCATGTGGTCTCCTCCAGAGCAGGCGGGAATCGAACTCATGCGGAAGTGGCTTTAGCTTCTCAGTGCAGTGCTTTAACCCGCTGCGCCACCAGGGAGGGCCTGCTTATCTTTTTTACTGTCACTTTCATTCTAGTAATTTTCATGTTCAGTTTTAAATTTAGGTATAATTGGCATATAGCACATAGCTTCAGGTGTGCAAGACAATGATTCACTATTTGCATACATTGCAAAGTGATCACTGCAATAAATCTATTTACCATAGTTCATCAGGTGTAGCTACATAGTTACAATTTTTTTTTTCTGCTGATGAGAATTAAGATTTCTTCTCAGAACATTCTATATCTCTTAAAACATTATCTGCTGTGTATTAGAGCTTATTTTGAATACATTTCCTTTCTGAAATATTGTTCTTTTATCTGAAATGCTTTACTGATTTCTAGCACCTCATTTCTGAGTTTTTCATATTCTGATTTATAATGTTCTTTAGGATATAATTTTTAAAAATATTTATTTACTTATGCATACAACTGGGGTACAGGCCAAAGGTACAGGGGTGAGAGGATTTACCATTGCACTACCAGAGAATACCCTAGGATATAATTTTTACCTGTTTGTAGGTATGTATTTTGCAGGAGCTTTTAATGTCAATATTCTTCTATTTATTCTTCCATTTCTTATTACATGGGATTTTCTCCCAAACCCTTTTTGTTCATCTCACAATAAAATTTCCTGGACTTTTTTTGGAGCAAGGGACCTTTTCCAACTTTACCACTCTAGACTTCATCATGTTCTTCACAAAATGATTAAAAAATAATGATTAAAACATGGTTTGCTGTTTTGTGGGCCCTCTCTTTCCTTTGTTCCGATTGTGTCTGTCTTGCTCATTTGGGAGTGCTCTCCCAATAATAATTCTTTTCAGTGTAGGGTTTTGCCTAGGAGGAAAGACTTCAACCTCTTAATTTATTTTTTTTTAGTGTAAACTCACACCACAAAATTTTGGTACATACCTAAGAGGTCTTCCATTTGCAGGTTTTTTTTTTTTTTTAAGATTTTATTTATGCATACAGAAATGGGGTACTGGCCCGAGGTGCAGGGGCTGCGAGAGAATTCACCAGAAACAGTGGGGAGCAGAGCAGGCAGATTGACAAAGTATACTGCTGTAGGGAGCAGTGGGAGACACAGGAGAGGTCTGCTGCGGCATGTGGATTAGCTTGCACTGAAGTGGCCACGGCTTGGCCTAACTTCATATTGCAGCCCTTCAACCCATTGCACCAGCAGGGAGGGCCCTACAGTTATTTTCAAAATGCCTTTCTAAGTGTTATTTTCCATAGATGCTGGACCAACTTACATTTCCATCAACAGTGTAAAAGGATTCTTTTCTCTGAACCCTCCTTGCTAATTCTTATTTTTGTCTGGTCTTTTTGAGAGGTCCTTTCCACAGGTATGAGATGATATCTCATAGTTTTTTTAAATTTATTTAATAAAATTTTATTGATTACAAAACTATAACTCTTAGGGTCTATCTTTGCTCCTATGTATAAGGCTCATCTCAGCTATCTATAGTATCCTATCTGCCCTCTTCTCTTCCCTCCCACTGCTCATCCTTTCCTACTCTACTAATATCTGGTAGTAATCTAAGAGTTATTTCTTTGTGTGGTTTATTAGTTTATTTGCTTTAATTACTAATATTCTACATAAGAGAAAACATTTGATACGTGTCTTTTACTGTCTGACTTATTTTGCTTATCATACTCATCTCAGGTTCCATCTGTGTTGTCACAAAATGAAAGATTTTACCTTTTTTTTTTTTTTTAATTTATTCATATAGAGCTGGGGTACAGGCCAGAGATGCGGAGGGTGAGAGGATTCACCAGAGACAGAGTGGGGTGCAGAACAGGCAGATCGACGAAGTACACTGCTGAGGGGAGCAGCGGGCGGGTCAGGAGAGGTCTGCCTCGCCATGTGGATCTCCTCCGGAGCAGGCGGGAATTGAACTCATGCGGAAGTGGCTTAAGCTTCTTAGTGCTGTGCTTTAACCCGCTGAGCCACCAGGGAGGGCCAGATTTTACCTTTTTAAAAAAATAAATAGTACTCTAGTAATGTTACAAGGCAGGGAGTGGGGCACCCCATTACCCCCAAACATGCCTGCTCTGTATCAAGACAAAATATACTCTAGTGCATAAGACTTTCAATGGAAAGGAACTTTAATATAGCTAGTGTGCAACAAACATTGAAGTTTCTAAATTGGCCGGGATTGACTGCTCCCCACTGTCTCTGGTTTCTTAAGCTACAGCTTAAGAAACCTTGACAGAGATACTATAATAAAAGAATTATTAAATAAAATGGTAGCATGCTGAATTTGGACGTATATTAGAATAATAATGTATCATGACCATGAGCTTTTATGTAACCTTTATTCTGGCAATGTAAGGATTTTTCCATATTTCATATGTAATAAAACAATTTATATTATGCCAAAGGGGGGATGGGTATATGATCATTTCAGTAATTCCTGATAAGACATACCTGATCCAGCCTTTCAATAACTTAGGGTATTTCTTTATTTTTTGATACAAAATAGCTATCACAAATCTATTTTCATATTGTTTTAAGGCCATAATGCTATTTGTTGTTTATCATTTGAGATAAATTCATTGGTTGTAAGCATCAAAACCCAGTTTTGACTGACTTAACCTAAACCATAATTTATTAGAAGAGTATGTGACATTTTATAGAGTGAGTGGAGACACCAGAGAGGCAGGAATAGCAGAGAAGTCCAGGATATTGGCATTATTCACTACCTTGTGTATAAATACATTTTTGGAAATTAATGTGCTTCTCTTTTTTATTTTTTATTCAAGATTCAGAGTTAAGGGAGAGAGTTCTGTCATCATAGTTTGAATCTCCTCAAATAGGAGAAAGATAATACTTTAATAGATTAGTTATTCTATCAAGACTGTGTACAATTAAGTATACAATTCCCTAAGAACCTTGGACACATTTAAGCAACCTGGTTCCACTTCCCATGCCACACAGAATTAACCAACAGATGGATGGTAAAATAGATAACTTTTTAATCTATTCTAATTAATTGAAAGTCTAAAATTGACTTAGAATAAATGACTTCTAAAACATTTAAATTTTTATTTTTTTTTAAGATTTATGCATACAGAACTGGGGCACAGGCCAGAGGTACAGGTGTGATGAGAAGATTCACCAAAGACAGAGTGGGGAACAAAATAGGCAGATTGACAAAATACACTGCTGAGGGGGAGCAGCAGGAGGGTCAGGAGGGGTTTGCCACACCATGTGGGTCACCTCCTGGGCCTGGGATCGAGCTCGCACTGAAGCATCTATGGGGAGTTTCATGGTGCTGCGCTTTAACCTGTTGCGCCATCAGGGAGGATCCACATTTAAAAATTTTAAAAGCCTAAGTCTCTGATTTATATACTAGCAGTGTCAGTGTTTACTTATATGTCATCTTTTCTTTTTAGACAATGCGAAGACACAGAAATGAAGTGACAGTTGAACTTCGAAAGGTAAGGGCGGTTTACATTTTGTGAAAAGTCATTAGGAAATTTTTCTGATGTCAGAAGTATGTATAACTTGAATAAGGACAATACTATTGCAAATTTATGGTCACCCCTAAAACTATATAGCATAAAAGTATACCATTAGTTTATGATGGTATATGCTCATAATGGCTTCCTTTTATCAGGTACAGCATTTATATGTGAAGTACTTTGCTACCAATATAGAATTTCTCAAATGTGATGAAGTTAGATGATTTTATTTTTCTTAATATTGTTCTGTGAACCATGTATACTAGACAGTGTACTAGATAGGATTCCACTACCTTCCTCATGTGAAAATTATACATGCTTTTTAGAAATACTTTCAAACAATAAAAGTATTCTAGCTTTATATTTTTCCATTGAATATGACCACTGTTAAAATTTATTTTCTTTATTTTTGGAGCACTTTAGCATTACCTTTATTTTAATCAAATTTTTTAATCACTTAATAAGAAAATACACATAATGAATTCTCTACATGTATAATAAGAAAATACACATAATGAATTCTCTACATACATGTATGTTTAAAAATAAATATTTGAAATATTTTCAAATCTGTTAGTCTGAGATTAGATCCTTTTCTTGATCTAATTCACTTCTGAAATTAGTATATTAAATTACTATCCTAAAACTTTTCAGTTATAGAAAGAAGGAGGTCTTGATTCCTAGTATATACATTCTTTCAGTGAGTCACTAGAATTAAATAGACCTGTGTTTCTTGATTTTTCACATTGCAGTATAGATTATTTTTCATATTTTAACTTAGTAGGATAGTGTGTGTTGTTTTGTGTGTCGTTTTTCATTCATTGGTAAAGATCACTCTCTTTAATAGTGGCAGTAGGAGTAATATTAGAATTAAGTAATTAGTTATTTATAGTTATCTGTTAGCATTACAACAGCTAATGTGGGCTTTTATTTTCCCTTAACATTTTGTGTTTGGAATATAACTGTAAAGCTGTTATATTGATTTTGATGTTATTCAGAATCCCCTTATTTTAAGTTTTTTAGCCCTTCTCATATGCTTAACAATCAAAGCTACTTATTTATATTTACATAGTTATTTATTCTTCTCTTTATGTTGAGCTGCCTTCTGTATTTAATTTATTAGAATTAAAATTCTTGCTTGTCAGAACACATCTTTTTTAAAAATATCTACATTGGTTACCTAAGCTACCCTACTTCATTTTGCTCTCATGGACAACATTATTTCTTTCCCGATTACTACTATTTGTGGAAATCCTGTGGGTAGACCAGAAATAAAACTAACTAAAGAAATCTCAAGCAATTTCATGTTTCACATTTCAGAATTCCTTGAGTAAGCAGTGCAAAGTGAACTTTTCCTGAAACAAAGCCTAAAATTTCAGACAATTAAAAAAAAAATTATTTATGAACCCTCCCTGGTGTCTCAGCGGGTTAAAGCATAGCACTTACAAGCTAAAGCCACCTCTTTATGAGTTCAATCCCCGCTCAGGAGGTGACCACAGGGCACATGGCAGACCTCTCCTGACCCAGTTGCTGCTCCCCTGAGCAGTGTATTTCAGTCAGTCTACCTGCTTTGCTCCCCACTGTCTCTGGTGAATCCTCTCATCGCCCCTGAACCTTTGGTCTCCCCCAGTTCTGTATGCATAAATAAATAAATCTTTTAAATATATATTTATTTATTTATGCATACAGAACTGGGATACAGGCCAGAGGTGCAGGGGGTAAGAGGACTCACCAGAGACAGAGTAGGGAGCATAGTAGGCAGATTGCAATACACTACTGAGAGGAGCAGCAGGCAGGTCAGGAGAGGTCTGCTGTGCCATGTAGGTCACCTCCTAGGCTGGGGATTATGCTGAGAGGGCTACCCATAGCTTCACAATGCTACGCTTTAACCCCCTTGCACCACCAGGGAGGGCCCAATTTCAGACAACTTAATTGATTTTGATGAGTCTAGGGAGATGTGATGAGCACATCCTTCAGTCTGTGGTCAAATCATCTTTGTCTTTAACCTTGTTATTCTGTACCCCTATGAGAAAATCACATTTTTATTATTGACATTGAGCTTCTTGAAAAATATAAAAGAGCTGGTTCCCAGATTATGTAAATAAGCTGTACCCATTTCTATTAGATTGTAAGATTCTAAAATGCAGGTAATAACCCTCTCCCCTAGTATTCCCAAGTCTCTCTAGCCCATCCCAAATGCCTAGTTAAATTCAGGACATGTAGTAGACATATGTTACATGCTAATATTCAAAAATGAAATTGAATGATGGTTTAATTCAATTTTACTTATGGTTTATATCATTTTTGACATTTTAGGAAAAACAGAGTACTGCTACTCAAAATCCCTGATCTGTGACAAGTCAGGAATTTGTGCCAAAATAAAACAAATGACTGCTTCCTTTACCAAGAAAATTTTTCTGCCTAATAAGTTAATTAATTTACAGAACTAAACTGTATTTTAGTTTCACAGCTCATTTCTGGCACAAGTTCCTTATAGCATACTTAAAACAAATAGTTGGAGGACTGCTAACCAGTTTAGGACAATAGGTCGATTAACAGTGATACTACTAATCTATCAGAAATGGAGGATGTAAGCCAATTATTAACATGAACTGTTTTATCCTTTATTAACATGAATTGTTTTATCCTTTAATGGTTAATTTTAGAAAATCTATATACAGATGAAAGGGGGAAATTATACATCCATTTCAATAGATACAAAACAAGCACAGTTTGATGAAATTAAGCACCTACTTTGGCCTAATAAAGGTAGAAGAAAAAATCTTAGCAAATTAGGAATAGAAAGAAGCTTCTTTATCAGATAGAGTGTTTATCCAAAAAGAGAACAAATATTGTATAAAGTGATAATATGCTCTCTCCAGTTTGATGGTCTGTGTATCTAGGAGGCTTTAATGTTGTTTTGATGCTTTGTGTGCTTTTTGGCCTAGAATGCCTAGGGCTTGGGGGAGTGGAGGGAATAGGATTCCAAAAAAGACTTGGATGCTTAATAATTCAGGCCCTGGAAAAGTTAGAGGGAAATAGAATGCAATCAGGATTTAAAATAATTTTTGCTTGTATCTATTGAGAGATACACTTTGCTGAAAATTTTTAAATTATTAAATTCCAAGGGATGTTAAAAGCTATCATATATAGAGAGATTTTTAAGTTAACTAGCTATATGGTTATAAATCACAAAGTACAATGCATAGTTTTTTTAAATTTTGACACAATTCCAAACCTGCATTTTGAAATTCAAAGTTGCAAGAATAATATAAAAGCTGTTCACACTTAACTTTGCACCCAAGTTCCTTGACTATTAGTATTTTATATTTGCTTTACTCACTCTACTTCCAATTTACATATATAATATACACTAATATATGTAATAGATACACATGACATTAATATTATCTTGAACCAGTTAAATTGCAGGCACGATACCCTGTATGTGCTTTATTACATAACCACAGTGCATCTGTCAAATTAACAAGGGTAGATTTCTACTATCTAATCCATAGATCCAGTTCATATTGTTCCAGTTGTTCCTAATGATGTCCTTTATAAATCTAAGATAGAACTGAGAATTAGACATTGCATTTTGTTGTGTTTCTTTAGTTTCCTCTAACCCTACAATTCCTGTTTTTAATCTTCATGATTGCATCTTCAAAAAGTATAGACAAGTTTTTGTAGAATGGCAAATTTGAGTTGACTGATATTTCTTGGGTGGTGGTTATTATTAGTAGTAATAGAATAATATTATTTGGTCAGAATAGCATGTCAGTAATGTTTTCTTAGTGCTTCAGATCACAAGCCACAGAACATTGATTAATTGTTCTTCACTGGTGGTCATAACCTTGACTGGTGGGTAAGATTCTGTGTGCCAGTTTTTTCCATTATAAATTAGTAAGTATTTGTGGGGAACCACTTGAGACTATATAAAATATTAGTACATGAATTTTAGTATTTGAACTGATTTAATTTTGTAATAATTTGTTATAAAAAATTTCATAATAGTGTAGAATTGATGTTTTGACTTGTTACTAGGAAGTATGCTGTGATGTAAGTGTAAGTTGGTAGCTAGTGATCACCTTATCTGTGAGCATCAGTTTGTGTAACCAGGGTAGCTTACATGTAGTACAAAAGTGGATATGCCAGTAGTCAATAAGCATCAGATAAAGATTTATTTCTACTTTTAACTTTCTATTTGGTTATTTTGATATCTATAACTTTCTATTTGGAATTTTGAGATCTGTATTAATACTTCTGTAATAAGCTTTCTATTATAGACACTTCCAAATTATGTATTGAATACTAAATAGTGCAGTCCTTTGAAATTTTAAGTTGAGATCTTAGAAGTTATTTAGTCTTTTTTAGTCATTTAGTCTTCTCATTTGTATCTACATAGTTCTATACCAACATTATATATTCAGTAAAATGGCACAGATTGCCATTACAGTTAAAATCCCATCAAATGTAGAAACATTTACCAGTAGAGAATTCTTGTTTGTAAAAGTCAAATCGCTAAGGGTTAAATCTGTTGTGATAGCAAATAGGAAGCATTTATGGTAAGTTCCCATTCCTTACATTCCCATTAATTTGACTTCTTTATAATTTTTTCAGGTAACCATTAGCAATAAGTAAGTGAAAATTAGCATGCTAGTTGAAATATATTTGCTAGATTATAGTGCATCCATAAATTTAAATATTCTCACTAAAGATTGGGAAGTATAGTATTAAGGAATACAGTTTGTACTTAATAATTTGTGTGTGTGTAAGCTGGACTGTACAAGTTTTGTTACCAGAGCCAGAATGTGGCACATCATTAGTTCACAGTATGTACATTTAATTAATGTTAACAGTATGTTATGTAGAGATTCGCTGCTCTATAAATAGGTGCTGAAGTTGAAATAAATTAACAGCAGCCATCATGACTTCTTAGATATCTTATTGGTTTCATTTCAGAACAAAAGAGATGAGCACTTACTGAAAAAAAGAAATGTTCCGCAAGAAGAAAGTTTAGAAGATTCAGATGTTGATGCTGATTTTAAAGCAGTAAGTTTTCTTTTTCTTAAAAGGTATTTTAAAAATAATAAATATAGCAACTGGAGAACCTCATTTTTAATATAAGACCAATTTTACAATAAACTCTTTGCTAAACTATTTTTTTTCTTTTTAAGCAAAATGTAACACTAGAAGCTATACTGCAGGTATGTTATTAATTTAATATTCTCATTTTGAATTATTCTGAAATAGATTCTTTTTTAACTTTCTGTAATTTGTGTTTGTTGTTGCAGAATGCCACGAGTGATAACCCAGTGGTCCAGTTGAGTGCTGTCCAGGCTGCAAGGTAAATACCAATTTGTCCAGAGAGAATATGTTTTTTGTACCTTAGTGTCTTAACTGATGGCCTAAAAGTATTAGTAGTACATAGTAGTTCATTGTTATTCCTATTCAAAGTTTGAAAATTATAGTAAATAATTTTTTTATGTTTCTCTTCTTAAGGAAGTTGTTATCCAGTGACAGAAATCCACCAATTGATGACCTAATAAAATCTGGGATTTTACCAATTCTAGTCAAATGTCTAGAAAGGGATGATAAGTAAGTATGGATTTTGACCCCTTATTTCACTTTTTTTCAGTTAACTTAAAATTTCAGGGTTATTATTCAGGTTATTATTAACCAGTTTGACTAAGTATTACATTTATTATGTTTTTCAGTTGTCTTGTATTTTTAATGTCAACATACTTGAAGTGCTTCTCTTTATAGTTTATTAATATTTTTATTTTCCAGGAAAATCTTAACTTCTATTTATTGCTCGTTCTAAGTTACCTCAAATATTTATAGATTTTTACTTTTCAGCGTTTTTTTTAATTAGTTAATATTTAAAGCATCCCAAATAGTGTTTGAGTCACTCTTTGCTCAAGTCTATATATAGATTAACCTCATGACTGAGTCAACATGAATGGTTTCCAGAACTGAGTAGCTTTTTCTTACTCTGGCAATAGTCCAGACGACCCAGTGATCCTCTGCAAAGCCTTTAACAGAACTCTAGCTTAGTTATCCAACATCATGCTTCTTATTTGTGGTAAAGTAAAAATAAGGGGCAAGTTGTATACACACACACACACACACACACATATAAACATATATGTTTTATGTGTATATATAAACACTGATAGTGTTTGAGATACAATTTTCATTAATGTTTAGATAATGATCTCGGTGTGCTTTATCTTAAACCTCATTAATTTGATAAATTTGAACTCTAAAATACTTTAAAACAGATGCTATTTTGCATTTATGAGCATTAATTAGACTAAAACTTGGGATATTTTGCTAAGTGTTATTTAGAAATTGTTGGTTTACTGAATAAAATAGTGGTGTATAAATGTTGCCATGAAGGGTGTTTCCATGTGTGTTATAACTATACACCACTCCAAAAGCCGGCAACACATACTGTCACATGAATTTTCTATAACAGGTCATATTTAAGCAAATTTTTATTTCAGCAGTTTAAAAGTTTTGTTTTATTCCCACCTTAAGGACCCCCTTTTCTTCTTGATCTGTTTCTTACTCCTTCTTTTCCTTTACTTTCCAACCTTTAGGTGTTCTAACATATATTTTAGAAACATATGCCAAAGTATATAGACTGTGTAACTTCAACCCAAAGCAAAAAAAAAGAATTGTCAGTGATTTGGAGTGGACCTTATGAATGTGTCATGGGAAATTGTGTTAAAAAATGCCATAGATTTTGGAGCCAGATAGACCATGGTTTAAAAACAGGGTTTTCTGGGCCCTCCCTGGTGGTGCAGCGGGTTAAAGCACAGCACTAAGAAACTAAGCCACCTCCTCATGATTTCAATCCCTGCCTGCCCTGGAGGAGATCCATATGGTATGGCAGACCTCTCTTGACCCACCCGCCGCTCCCCTCAGCGGTGTACTTCATAGATCTGCCTGTTCTGCTCCCCACTCTGTCTCTGGTGAAGCCTCTCACCCTCTGCATCTCTGACCTGTACCCCAGCTCTACATGAATAAATAAATAAATCTTTAAAAAAACAAACAAAAAAAAAACAACAGGGTTTTCTGTTGACCAAAATTCAACTGATTTTTTTTTTTTAAAGATTTGTTTAATCTTGCATACAGAAATGGGGTACAGGCCAGAGGTGCAGGAGCAGTGAGAGGATTCACCAGAGACAGAGTGGGGAGCAGAACAGGCAAATGCACTGAAATACACTGTTGAGGGGAGCAGCGGGCAGGTCAGGAGAGGTCTGCTGCACCATGTGGGTCACCTTCTTGGCCAGGGATTGAACTCATACAGCTGCAGTAGCTTCATAGTGCTGCACTTGAACCCATTGCACCACCAGGGAGGACCCCTCAAGTAACTTTTGAACAAGATAGTCATCTATAAAAATTAGGTGGTTGATACCTCAGGAAGAAGGAAAAGATTAAAAAAAGAAAAAATAGTGGTTATAAGGAATAGAAGTAGTATATGCAAGACATATCACACTATCAAACTTAAAATAAATGTTTGTTTGCTGCTTATTATACTTATTGTGTGTGTGTATAAAAATATAAAACTTCTCTTTTTTCACATAACATTTTAGAAACACTCCCTGCTTGATAATTTTATTTTTCACATCTTTCTGTTTGTTACTTAAGGGCCTCATTTCCAGTCTCATGCCCAACTATTTAGCCTAGCTAAATAACCCTTTTTTTCTTCTAATCTGGGATAACATATACTGCCTCAATATCTTCACATTTAATATCCTTTTACTTCTCCTCTACCTCTGATATCCTCTTGTCCCCACCTTTTGCCAGAATTCATCAAATAGTCCTGTCAACTTCTCTACTTTCTCATCTAGTCCATCTTAACTTCATTGCTTACTATGTCTCTGACATTTATTCCCTTAAAACAATTTCTGTATTGGAACTCTCTAACCTTTTGGTACCAGAATTTTAATTTCCTTAGTTTTTATAGTATTTTGTTCTAATTTCCCTAATCACTGGCTTTCTTTAGTTTTTTCTTAATACTGTTACCTTTCTTTCAGCTACCAATTCTAATTTAATGTAGATAGTAGAAAATTGACTTCAGTATTATTTGCTTTACTTAAATTTTGTAGCCTGGAATTTGAATACTACTTCCCCTCCACTCACCCCAACATACACATACATACACACTTAAATAACCTGCTCTTCCTATTTCATCCTTCTAAAATTTTTGCATACTTGTTGACTTCTGTTTTCATGATGTATCTCTTGGCATCCATGCACATTGTGATCTTTCCATCCATGATACTTTTATTGATACTTCCAACAGTCATGGCACCTTTCTTAATTCACCTTCTAAAAGCTAGTTTAGTTTTACTTTTTCAGTCTTCAGTCACAGTTGCAAATTATAGTGATCTCACTTTTCAGCAAAATTAAGCAAACTTATATCTCATATCACACAATATCAAACCTATTTACCAATAGGTAAAACAGATGGTGTCTGGGACTAAGATAGGGTTCCAGCTGTAAGGCCAGTGTAGACACAGCAGCTATTCAAGTGAGATGGTAGATGCCTCAACTAGCAACATGACGCTGGAGGTGATGCTATCATTGTAAGAAATATTTAGCAGATAAAATTGAGTTGACATTGACATAGAGATGTCTATGAGAGAAAAGGAGTCAAGGAATACAATGAGGGATTAATGTTGCAATTACCAATGGATATGAAGTAGCAGGTGTATAATATGACTGACTTCAGGAGTCAAGGAGACATTTTAGAGGAGATACGCAACAGACTATTAGAAATAAGTAGGTGAAATTTAAGGACAAAGTAAATGATAGTTATATCATTCTTCAGATCATAAATTTAATATCTGACAAGAACTTTTTTGTTTTTTTATAGTCCTTCACTACAGTTTGAAGCTGCTTGGGCATTAACTAATATAGCATCAGGAACTTCTGCACAGACTCAGGCTGTTGTACAGTCTAGTAAGTAAATTCTTTATTTTTTGGGTGTTATTTCCTCTGAGCCTAACCCAACTCCCAATTTACCATGGGCTTGGCCATCTGAATTTTATTAGAAAAGAGAAGTGAAATGTTGTTATAAAAACTAGATCTACTCTTGTAACATTTTTAAACTGGTCAATCTTACAAGTTACTTTTGTTGTCTCTTCCATAGTTATTGTTAATCTATCATTAAACAGTTTATAGTTGTTACTAAAAAATAAATGTGTTCACCTTTTTAAGGTAGAGACATTTTCTTAACAACAGGTGTTTAAATTTCTGTTTCAAATATCTCCACGGTGCTTATGCCTTTTTGTTTATAATATATGTACTTTAAGATTTTTGCCTACCTAAAGATGAACTATTATTAGTATGTTGTCTCAAATTGATGAAAGCTCTTTGGAAATAACTAGATGTTGCCAAGTACTGTTAAAGTATGGGACACTTAATTGACTTTAAATGATACTCAAGATGGTTTGTAAATGGTGTATGATATACGACGTTATATTGAATCAGATACACAATACGGACAATTTCGGTTCTCTTTCAGATAGTTCAGTAATGTCAAGTTACATATAACAAAAAGGGAAGAGATTTAGACTAAGGCTTTCTTTCATATTTTTCTTTATTTTAACCTAAACTGTTAATTAGGTAAATAAGATTTTTACAAACATTGCTTATTAGCAATAACAGTGGAATGGGAGAATCTTATTCCTTCTTCAAGTAGCACGGTGAGAACTACCAGTGGTGTGTTCCTTTCCAAGACCACTCTTTAGGAAACAGTTTATCAAAAGGTTAATCATAGGATTATCATGAATGAAAAGTTTTACTACTACATGGAACAAAGGCATGAAAACATCTGTCCACATAGACTTGTACACAAATGAAAATGGCCCCAATGTCTATTAACTGGTGAATAAATAAATAAAGTTGTGGTATATGGTGGAATACTTTCAGCAGTACAAGTAGAAATACTGATACTTGCGATTACATGTGAACTTTAAAAATATTATGCTAAGTGATATGTCAAGCATGAAAACCATACAGTTGTATGGTTTATTTATATGAAATAATTAAAAAATCAGAATAAGCAAATTTATAATGATGAAAAGCAAATGTTTTATTGTTCTGGTTGCCTAGTACTGGGGGGTTGAGCAGTAGAACTACTTTATATATGAGATTTCTTTGGGAAATGCTAGACATATAAAATTAGATTGTGGTGATGACCACATAACCCCAAGAAAGCCATTAAATAGCTACACTTAGGTAACTTATTGTACCAAGTTATAATTTTATTAAATGTATCAATTTAAATTAAATAATTAGCTATTGCAAAAAGTTCTAGAGGTAGTATATAGTTGACTGAAATTAAAAAAAAAATGTGATCTAGTTTATGCTTCATTACCTAGTTCAATATGGTATGTTACCCCTGTTTTAGAATTTGGGAGATGGTTAAAATGTAAGCCAGGTAAAGCATAAAGATAATAATGATAAATTATATTAAAATTTAAAGTAAGTTGGTTAAGAGAATAGTCAGTGAGTTTATCCTTTCTCAGCAGTTACAGTCACACTGGATAAAGTATTTTCTAAAGTTGTATTTTTGTAGTAGAAACCCTTTTTTATAATGCATTTTAGAAAAAAGTCATACTGCTGTTTTCTTTTTTTGAGTTCCAGTTAGCTTTATTAAACGATCCATAAATTGGGCAGTCATACTGCTGTCTTATTTAGTGACATAATAGCAATAATAGCAACTTTTAGATATTGTCAAAAGATTTGTAACTTGAATATTATTACTAAGGGAAACTACGAAAACGGTTATTTTAGGGTCACGGTCGGTGTTCATCACATTTATTCATTCAATGAACTATAATTGGACAATTACAATATGCCAAACTTAATGTATTTTATTGAGTTATTTTGTCTGAAATCTTAAACTCTACAAAGCTTTGCAATATCAGTATTGGTTTTTCTTTACTACAGATGCCGTACCTCTTTTCTTAAGACTTCTCCATTCACCACATCAAAATGTTTGTGAACAAGCAGTATGGGCTTTGGGAAACATTATAGGTAAGTTGCACTAGGTTTGAAAAAATTCCAATTAAGAATCTTAATTAACTTTTTTCCTACATTGGCATAGCCATTAACACTATGTTTCCTCTAATTTTAACTTGAGTTGATTATCTCTTGCCACGTGAATACTACTTAAGATGGTACCTCTTTCAAATGGATATGCAATTTACTATCAAGAATTAGTAATTTGTGTTCCCCAAATCAAAATCTGGAAAACCCAACAACACTTGATGCCCTTGACTAATGGTGAGGAAACATAGAACATCAGTGTCCCAACATGAGCCATTGCATACATTTCAGACTTTCTCATCTTGAATGTAATTTTTTTTTAAATACAATTTTCATTTCTGTAGGTGATGGTCCTCAATGTAGAGATTATGTCATATCACTGGGAGTTGTCAAACCTCTTCTGTCCTTCATCAATCCCTCCATTCCCATCACCTTCCTTCGGAACGTCACATGGGTCATTGTCAATCTCTGCAGGAATAAGGACCCCCCACCGCCTATGGAGACAGTTCAGGAGGTAAATGAAGAATTGCAAAGGCCAGATGGTATATTTTCCCTATGTTTATGTGTTAGATTTTCATGCACAGGGAATGAAATAACCTATTGCTTACATTGCAGGTGTGAGACTTTTAAAAGTAATGTTTATTTAATTTTACTATTGGTGAGTTAAAAATTGAGTATCTTATCACACCTAAAAGAATAAGAGTCCACCCTAATTCTTATTTTTGTAGTAAGTGTTTTCATAAAAAGAAAGCAAAAAAATGTAAACAGAAAAATACAAAAGGAGGAAATAAAACCTCGAAGTTTTATTCCTGTATTGCATTGCTGGCTTAAATAATTAAAAACAAAAGGAATTGCTATAGATAAACTGTACTAGATAGAACTAGTATACTTCTATGTGAATGTTCTTAACTGATTTTGGGTTGAGTCCAAATGAAATTTCCCTTGATTGCTGATTAGTGTTCTTAACACTGTAATCAACTTTGTGTTAAATAAAACAAAATAGTAGCTTTCATTCACATTTACATATAAATAGGTAATAGGTATTAAGTTTCAAAAAATCCTATGGAGCTTTTAATCTTTTACCTTATGGGGAAATGTTGACTATGAAACTTTATAATTGACATCTTTGACCAGCTTTTGCTACCTTTTATTGTTATGGAAAGGGGACTTAATGTGTTACCCCCATTCTTGTTCCTTCTCACTCAGATTTATAAAACGATGATAAGGCCTTCTTCCAATAAAGGTTTTGTACTTCATTGTTTATAATTTTTGGGCAAAATCTGATGTCAGAAACTTCAATTTGACTTTAAATAGCCTATTAAATAAAATCTTTTACTTTAAGCAGGTAAGTGAGACAATAATGGCAATTTTAAGAGTAGCTTTTTAAAAATTGTTGTACTGTACATTTGCATCTTCATTCTTTCCACTTGAAGAATATGTCATAAAAACTATTGGAAAGAAGTGTTTTCTTTTAGGGTACATTAATCTCTGCTAGAATTAATGGATATTTTAATTGAACATCTGGAGTATACTTTGGTTTTTCAGATTGAACTTTTCATTTACCTAATTAGAGAGTCAAACAAATTCAACATTGTCTTTCTTGTCCTGCAAATAGTATTGTATCACAGTAATCATTTTCACAAAGACATATACATCAACTTCAGTGTTACTTGTTTATCTTCTTTCCTCAGATTTTGCCAGCATTATGTGTCCTCATATACCATACGGATATAAATGTAAGTGAAGCAGAACATGAAATTTGGGGTTTTGCTCTGAATGTGACTGGAAAAAGTTATTTATTTTTTAGCTTTTATAAATGTCAGCGTATCTTATTAACTTGTTGACCTTCCCAAATATAAGTTATTCATATAAATAAATTAAGGTAAATTAGGTTTATGGTTTAATCATGAGATAACAAAAATGCTGATCTTAGAGAAATGATCACATGTAGTTAATTTATTTTATCTATTTCATTTTTAAGTGTTAATACTTATAATGTGGTAAAAACTTTATAAGGGACTGATATTTTCTTAATCTCCTTTGATTTTTATAATAGGACAGACTAGATATTTTTTCCCCATTTTACATAATAGAAGAAACTGAGCCTCAGAGAAATGTTAAATAAAACTTATCCAAAGTTGTAAAGCTAGTAAGTATCAGAATTTGATTTCAAAACTGAGGTTTTTAGATAGTAAGTCTTTCTAATTTCTGTGAAACTAGAAAGTGTACAACTTTCTGGGTATAGTAGTGACAAATATCAAGTATAAATTTAAATGCAAAGGTGTTTTTAGATGATATATATACTTCAGGAGATGTAAACATTTATACATTCTGGTAAGTTTTTTTATTAGGCAAATTCTCCTAAATGTAGTCACACAAAATGTGGTTCTTCCATGGAGTAAAAAAAAGTATAAATTTTATAATCTGGAATTGACTTTGGCATTGAAGTATCTTTTATTGTTCTAACTAAGAGCTCTTACTGATTTGCTCTGTTTATGTTTTTATAATCCGATCTTTGTTTTCACACACATATGTATGCCAGAATTATGAGATTTATCATTGAGATTGAATAAAATACATCATTGTAAATATTTTTTATAATGAACTGTATATAATTTAATACATAAATATGTAATCATATTTCTCTAGTTCATTTTAGGACTTCATTTTTTAAGAAAGAATTTTTGAAAGGTAACTGAAGTATATTTGTGACATATTAGTCTGAAATGTCACAAAAGTGAAATCAAATGTGTTTATATGCAATCTTATTTATGAAATGAATATAAAATTATTTCACAAAATAAGATAATATTTTTATTATTTTATTTTTAAGCTTTATTTTCCTGTTCTACTAGTAAGGAAATTGAAACTCAGTAAGATATATAATAACCTAACTAAGGCTATACAGTGAGTGAGTAAGATCCACAGTTGAGATTAAAGGCAGGCCCGAGGCCTTTGCTTTTTAATACCAAATCACAAAAACACAAAAGATATTGTGAAAACAGGAAGATAATGTATAATAGAATTATGACCAAAATGCTTGGCTTATAGAGCACATATTCTGTCTAGTCACCAGAAAACTTCATTAGGAAAGTAACATGTGAAATATGCATTATCAGGAGATGGATAGTAGTGGAAAGGGTGACAGAGATGGCAAAAATTACTGCGTTCATTGTTAGTATTTATTGAGGGCTTTAAATGTGCCACACACTCTCATTCCTTACAAATATCTTAGAGATTATCATTGTTTCCATCTTATAAATGTGATTTAAAAGAAAGAATAACTTGTCTAATTTGCCACTACTAAAATATCCATACTCTTCCTCATAGACCATTGAATCCCTTCCCCCTTTAGTAACCTCAGTTCTATAGTAAGATTTCTAGGGCTTGTTTTGGTTTAGATTTGTCTCTTTTCTTTGTTTCTTTATATTACACATATGGGTGAACTCATCTGGTACTTACCTCTCTCCTAACTTACTTAGTTCCAGTATCCTTGCTAGGCACCCACATAATTAAGCCACTTATGCTACATTATGCCTCTCCCTACTGCCAGTGTTTTCTAAGTTCTATATACTATTCTGAAACCCAAGTTAAACACTAGATATTATCCCAGACTCCTAGCAGACAAACTGATGGAGCATGTTACAAGGGCACAGGCAGACAAAAAGAGGTGCTTATCATAAAATTACAGTTTGCATAAACAGTCTATCCCAGCCTCATCTCAGGTCTTTGGGTAGAAAATCCAAAGGTTCAAAACTTACCTCACAGGTGCTGAACAAGAGCCATTCCTTTCTTTAGAATGTGCAGAATTTTAGCACCCAAGCTTATACTTTTAGGCTTTGGTTCAGCTCTATCGCTGAAACATGTGTGAAGTAATAACATCCCTTAAGTATCTCATCTTCCTCAAACTGCTGTATAGGTTAATAGCAGTTTTTGGTAATGGTGCTTAACAGGACATTATTTGTTAGCATATTTTCTGGTGGTAACAAAAATCAGTGAAATTCTTGAGCTGAGCTTCTCCTTGTTGGTAGACTTTTGATTATTAGAGATTTTACTTCTGTTTATATGATACGGGTTTTGAAGAAGATTACTAGTTTTAAACATTTGCCTGCTCAGGCTCAGTGCTTTGGGTGAGTAGGATGGTGTGCATAGAATAAACCTTCAAGCATCTGAAATATTGCTGGAGTAAAAAAGTTTCAAAACTTTCTAAAAGAAGATCAGATATGAATAATAGAAAATAAAGTAGTATTATTAAAGAATTTTGTTAGTAACCAATTAATAGGATTATTAACTAGAAGGAAAATAATCCTCTCATTTGGTATTAGTGACTAAAACCAGGTAATTTAGCATAGAATCAATCAAAAGAGAAAGAGAATCAAGACTTGTGGAGAGGGAAAGTGTAAAGTAGTTGAAGCAGCCCAGGTGAGAAAAGACCTTTTACAAGTATCAATGACTTTGAGTAACTGTCCACATGATGGTGGAGATAAGAAAAGCAAACTTCAATGAAAACAGAAAAAAGTAAAGTTGCCTCACTAACAGTCCTGTGCTGTGAATTTCAAGTCTTTAAAACATTTTATAATGAAATTTTTAATGAAGACCATCCAGTATATTATAAAACAAATTTAAAAGAAGCTTTGAGTCTCTTTCACTTCAGGGGACCTACCCTAGCTCTAGTTTACTTTCCCCCACCACTGAGATACTGTCATGAACGTCCTATTGAAAACCATAAACAAACTTCCACCTAGAAATCTTAAATATTTCATTTTTTTTAGATCACTGTTTCATAGTTAGATAAAATGGTTTCCTGTTATTATTAAGGAGCATGAAATGAAAAAAAAGTTGTATTTCATTTATCATCCTCTTAAAACACAAGAGTAAGGCATCCAGACGTTTGGCACAGTATTTTGTGTGTGTGTGTGTGTGTGTGTGTGTGTGGACACAGTTTATTCAAACACACTTTTTGGGGATAAGGGTTCAGACTGTTTCCTGAATTCACAGATACAAAAAATGTAGCAGTGAATAAGCTTGTGTATTTTCATACTCAGAGTACATTCCTAGAAACAGAATTTATAGGTGAAAGAGGATGCATTGATTTTGATACATAATGCTAAATTTCCTGTAGTGTATATAAAGTACATCAGTGTATATAAAAGGACTTTGTCATATTTTAAATGTTTTGCTAGTCTGATAGTGAGGAACTATGTCTCATTTGTAATTTGTATTTTATATTTTATGAGCAAAGTTAAGCATTTCAGTGTTTAAGGGCCATTCTTACATCTTTGCAAATAGCTTATTCATCATTATTTTCTATTTTTCTGTTGGACTTTTGCTCTGACTTATCTTTTAATGAATTCCTTATATAGTTATGTATTTAATACTTTGTTATACATACATCAAATATTTTCCTAATTGATCTTCATGCTCTGATACTCAAATTGTTTTTGTACAGATTTATCAATATTTTGTTGAATATTGAAAATCCTTTGTGTGTGTGCTTTATATGCAAGTTGTTATCTTCTCACAGTATTAATTTCAGTATGCTATAATAGCTGTAACCTCATTTTTGGTCTGCTTGACCTCCCTTCCTCATATTGACAGTAGTATCTTGTATTTTTTGACATCATCTTAATTATAATGATAATTGCAGGGTTATATGGTAAATAGATAGTTTGTGTGTCTTCATTATAAATTGTGGGATTAGCTTTCTCCAGTAACTTTGTGTGGTAATCTTTTATAATGCTTTTTAGCCTAAATTCTGGTAGTCTGTAAAGAGAATTGCAATCTCCGCTTTCTTTGATTTACTTGGTGTACTTTTGCTTATCCCATTATTTTTTATCTTTTGGGATTAATTTGTTTTAGGAATATCTTTAGTGTGCAGTATAGAATTGGGTTTTGTTTAGGGAAATAGCTTGGAAATACAAAAGCTCATTCTCGTCAATACGTTTTTTTTTTTTTTTT